ACTTCTGGAACTGATAACCAACCGGAATCTGATAAGACACCAGTAGAACAAAATAATCAGGATAGTCCTCAGTCAGAGAATGCATCTGCAACTGAAGTTCCAAAAGTAGAAAATGAACCCACTGAACAAAACAAACCAGTAGTTGATAGTACTTCTGGAACAGATAGCCAACCGGAATCTGATAAGACGCCAGTAGAACAAAATAATCAGGATAGTCCTCAGTCAGAGAATACATCTGCAACTGAAGTTCCAAAAGTAGAAAATGAACCCATTGAACAAAACAAACCAATAGTTGACAGCACTTCTGGAACAGATAACCAACCAGAATCTAACAAGACACCAATAGAACAAATAAATCAAGATAGTTCCCAATCGGAAACTCCATTTTCAACCGAAATTTCATCCACACCTGAAAGTCCACAATTAGAAAATAAAGTACCTGACAGTAATCCTATACAACCAGTATCACCAGTAGCTTCAGAAAATAATGAATCAACAGAACAACCAAATGAAGAAAATATTATTTTTGTTGTGTCACCTACATCATCTCCACCATCCTCAGATAATCAAGTTAAAGGAGAAGAAACGACTTCAATAATCAATGAAAACAATACCAGTGATAATTATTCTTCTACAGAAAAAAACGAAGACAAGACAGTTGAAGTTCTAAAACCATCAGCTGATGACAAAACTTCGTTTACTGAAAACACTGATACGTCCAATATATTACCAGCAAAACAAACTGAAACAGTCACAGAAAGCCAAAATGTGGTACCGCAAGCTAATGAAGAAAATAATGAAAATTCAATAAATTTGAAGCCAATTGATAACAAAGGTAATAGTGATGGCGTGACAGATAATCTAGTTAATTCTCATGAACAATTACCTGCTATCGCTGAACATAATGATAATAAGTTTGGATCTAACAATCCAGTGAGTTTGGAACCAGTGCTTACACCAACGACTGAAATAAACTATGATGTTAACACAGAAGTAATAAATCACGGTGTATTGGTAGACGACCCTTCATCTCAAGAAAATCAACCCATCGACGTACATTCAGATGAAGAATTAGAAAGCGCTCTTAATGCCGATTCAATAGACCAACTTATTACTCATCAAACAGAAACTCCAACTGAATCAGAAACGTCCACAAATAAATATCCATTGTCTGCCGATGAACACGCAAATGATATTACTACTTCTTTGCCACAACAGCAAATAGTTGAAAATAATATTCCTTCAGTACATCCTCAAGTTATTAATTCTGGTGAACTAACAACTACAAAAGATGAAACGAAAACACCAAACAACTTTTCGACAAACGACTCACTTAATCAATCCTCCGAAAATTATGTACCAACTGAAATAGTTGGAGTACAAAATTCTGAAGATGTTTCCAATCCAACTGAATTGCCTGTATTGCACAATAACAATGGCGATACACCTGAACAAAACAATGAAAGCTTCATTCCTCAGGAACAATCACAAGACGAGAATGTTAACAAAATTGTAGATCAGACGACAATTTACCCAGATACTTCATCAGATGAAAAAAACAATTTTGTAACGAGCACTGCATCATATCTTAATAACGTTGATAATGTTACACCATCTTCTGATAAAATAGAAACTGTTTTAAATGAAAAACCAGTTAAAAATACATACGAAGACATTTCAGTTGAAAGTGCAACTATTCAAGCAATTTCAGGTAATATAGATAATAATGCAGACAATTTAGTGACAACAAATATATATGGTGATTTACCATCTACAGATGCACCTGGAAGTCAAATGGTTGAAAATGAAGTAAGTCCATCGGTAAATCCATCTAATAATGTTGAAACTAACGTAAATAATGATCGACCTGAAAATGTTGTACCACAACTAAGCTCTAATGAAGGATCAACTCAGTACAACGAGGATGATAGCTCAACAAATAACCCTATCCAAGAATCTTCGAGTGTAAATATTATCAATGATGTAGATGCGAGTACCAATGTACCATATAAGCCAAGCCCTAATGATATAAACCAAGATTCAAATACTGAATCTGAGTTATATACAACTCAGTCGCCAACTGAATTACAACAATTAAACGTTTTTCCTATAGTAAATAATGGAAACCCGTCTGAAAGTCTACAACATTCTGACAAACCATTTGTATCGAAAACGCCAGATTACGTTATAGATATAACTACATCAGTTTATAGTGAATCATCAAATGCTCCAGAATCGATTATAACAAATGGCCCAATAGATTCTGTAAGTGAAGTAACCACATTTAATGTGGACAAAAATAGTGACGTGGTAACAGAATCTTATGAAAACGTACAACCAGGAGTACCAGGAGAGGGAAGTTGTTTGATCGATTTTGTGACTTACGCACACAAAGCTGAAGTGCCGAAATCTAACCCGTGTCATGAAAAATGTGAGTGTTTAAATAGTATAGTCACGTGTACTTCTGTAAACTGCCCACCTGCACCACCTCAGCACAAAAACTGTATACCTTTACACCCAGGAAACGAATCGTGGTGTTGCCCAACATACATGTGTGGTAAGTTATTATATGAAAATTTATTGAGTTTAAATAAATATTTATGCAAGAATATTTTTACTGGAATTGTTTGGTATATTAAAACATTTCCAGTACAAATTGAATAAAAACACGACATAAATTAAATGTAAAATACATCTTATAATTTTTATTTTACAGAAGGAGGCATAGAAGGAATGTTATTTGATAATCATAATCAACTTGGTTCTCCTCAATTAATATCCACCGTGGTATTAGAAGATAAACCAAGTGAAGTTGACGAAAAACCTCAAACCGATGAGGAAGTTTCAAGCACACCCAATTCTCAAGTTTCTCAAGAATACAACACTTTATCACCATCTCAATTCGATTCGAACTCTAACATAAATTCTGAAGGTGGTATCGGTGTGACTGAGATTCCAGCACATACTGAAATTCCTAACAGGCCAATAGAAGATTTTGTAAACACAGATAATGAAAATGATGTATCAGTAACTGCTGTTAACCTTGAAACAATAGTCAACGAAAACCCAGCCAATGGTGATAAACCAGAAGAAAACAATAAACCAATCGAAAGTGTTCAACCAATTGAAAATACTGGAGTAGATTATACAACAACTTCTTACGTAACTGATGATCAATCATTAACTAACAAACCAGAAACGCTAAATAATAACGAAGAACAAAATGAATTGCACAACACGGTCAACGAATCACAAGACTATCCAGCACCATCAACCCAAGTACCAGAGAACTATGAACCTGCAGTAACAAATGTACTTTTCGGTAGTGATCTAAATCGACCAGAACAAAACTCCGAGTCAGACGTCTCAATATCCGTCACAACATATAAGCCTAACGACTCTATTGTAAATCAACAAGTTGATACAAATAACAAAGGAAGTGTAGAGACCAATAATCCATCTGCCAGTGAAGATCCTCACACAAACCCCACTAATATAGTAACAGATTTGCCTATGGGTGAAGTTAATCCCTCGGAAGAAGGAACTCAAACGCCAACAATTATAGCTGACGAAAACCCTATAGTTTCCGGAAATAACGTCGATGGCTTAAGACCAACAAGTATTGATGACATTATTTCGTCAGTTTACTCTGTCAAGGACTCTGTTAAAAATTCATTAGAAACTTCATCAAAACCTACTCAAATCTCAAATGAAGAAATTGGATTATTCGAAAATAATTACCAATCAACAATCATACCGGAAGATTCCTTACCGGATCAATACAATAATGAATCTCAAACCACAGTGAGTAGTGTAAACAGTACTCCAGAATCTCAAAAAACAGATGTGACGAACGAAATCTTGCCAGAAAGTCCCTCGGTTACGACGGAAGCAAACATTTCCCTACCGTCCGAAAACGATACAGACGGATTAACAGGAGTTACCCAAATTCCAAACATTCCACCACAACCCGAAGTAAATTCCGTTGAACAAGGAGTATCTACTGATTTATCATCAAACGGTCCCGAAGTTGAAGCGACAGTTGATGATAGTAAAATCCCAGTGGAATCTCCAACAACACAAAGTTTACCAAGTTCCGGTGAGCAAGACTTGGCGAACAACGGACCGGAAACTCCTAGCAATCCGATCCTGTCCCAAGTTCAGAACGCTGGCGACCCAAGTACTGACTCACCATTACCGGAAGTACCTTTAGTAGTCGATGACAACAAGACGCCTGAGATCAACACACCATTGTCCGAACAACATGAGGTGCCTGTGCATGATATAGAGATAGCAGTCAAGCCGGCCACAGAAGAAAAACCAGATGTCGTGAATAGTCCAATCACATCGGATTCGGGCGTACCAGCAGAAGTCCTGACACAAGCGGTGGTAACAGGCCAGCCAATAGTCAGTACTCCAGACGACAGTGACAAGAGGTTTGGTGAATCGAGCAGTTCATCGTTCCGTCCACCTGTCCAAGTTGGAGACGATAACAAACACGAAAATGAACGTCCTCGGCCGGAAACCAGTGACACTGTACACATACCACTGGATACAGAAACGCCTGCGTTCAACCCTTCTACAAACGCTCCACTTGCAACTTACCCCCACAAACCTTCGTACACGCCAATCCCTCAATCGACGTGGACACAAAAACCATTCCACCAAGATTCCACATCCGAAGCGCCTTTGCAACCAGATCAAGGTTTTCCAGACGAGTATGACGATGAAAATGAAGCAGTTTACGGGCCAGGCACATGCAGGTGAGTGATGACAATGTTATCTTATACTTCAGTTTGAAGTAGGGGGATATTTACCAATCACCTTTCTATGACAAATGTAATTAGTCTTATTTTTATACGACTTGAACGTTTTTATCTCGCATGAAATACATCATTTCGTGTAAGATGTTATTTTATATTTAATATATTTATAGATTAATTGTGATTTTTATTATAATTTATACAGATACGGTGGCAAGATATATGTTTCTGCTCAGCAAGTGCCCAGAGACGACCCGTGCGATTTCTGTTTCTGTTTCCGAGGCGATATAATTTGCCTACAACAGAGCTGCCCACCACCCATATTTGGATGCTACCAGGAGAACATACAAGGTTTCTGTTGTCCGCGTTACGAGTGTCCAGTGGCCCAGGCCACGTCTGTTAACGTTACCACGACTACCACTTCAACCACAACCATGGTGCCACCACATTTCTTCGCCAACGCCTACCGAGGGGCAGCCAGGCGTACCGGATGTCTTATCCACGGACACGCTTATCGCGTGGGCGAAGACGTAGGAATTGCTTCTGGTCCTTGTCTCGAGTGCATGTAAGTATACTAGATTTTTTTTCTAAATAATATTATAACTCGGCTATGCGATATAAATGTTGATAATACACTGTATGGTTAGTACTTTGCTTACTGGTCTAAATAAATATTGAAAATTATTGTTAACAATCAATCTTTCTTTGCCTTTACAAATTTTAACAAATAATAAAAAAAAATTATATTTAAATCTATATACTATTAAATATTAAGCCATAAAATAATTATCAATAGATATAATAATTATATAAATTATAAATTATAATAGGTGTTATAATTAATATTATATAGTTGTCGAGATAACTTTATATTAAAACAAAAATAAATTATTCCTTTGTATGAGTATATATTAACTATTGTTTTCGATTTTTCAGATGCGGTTCCGACGGCAAAATGAAATGCGATCCTAAGCCTTGCAGTCCAGAGCCTTTGCTCAGAAAAATGATGGCCGAAGCAGTCGACCAAAAAAGAAGGTGAATAATAAGAAAAATAACGTTCAACGACTAAGTGCCAAATACCACAGTTAACGATAACACGAGCAACGAGAACCAAAAGTAGACGACCGTCAATTTTTTTTTTATTTTACCTTTTTGAATTTTTTTCTCATTATCAACCACACCGCACGAAATGTCCACTTTCGCGGCATTGCGTTGCTCAATACATAAATACCATCACTATTACGACGAAAAAAACAAAAGACAAACATGGTATGCCATCGTGAAAACATTGGAGACTGGTTCTAATGAGTATTTTATATTTATTACGTTTAGTTTATTAAAAAAAAATAGGTTAGTTATTTATTGTAGTAAGACACCTTTAGAATGAACATTAATTGTTTACATCAATTTTTTCCAAGCGATTTTATACAACTGAATTAAATTTAACTTAACTATACGTTTATAAATTTAGAAAACATAATTTAGTATAATATGTAATATAAATAATATAATTGTATGCATAATGCCATAACGGTAAGCAATACACGCCACATTGCTACAAAAAATACTATTTTATAAAACTTTTATACTTCGTTTTGTATTGAATTGAAAAATCTAACCGTCCAAACAATTCATTCCGAATTTCTTTCTAACAATAAATTTTTTATCGTATTACGCATCAAATCGCTGCCATTCACTCGTAATTTTTTAAGAATTAAGTACGAAATTATCCACCCAATTATATTATATTTCGTTTTAACCAAGCCCGATCCAGTGTTCATGGTTTCCAAGATGAAATTAAAAATGTTTTATATAATTATTATTATAACGTTGGATTTTTATCTGAGTAGTTTAACAGGCAGAAGTCAATTTATCTACTTAGGTGTATTGTGTACAAACATCACAAAAATATTATGAAAATCTATAAAAATATTTGAAAAACTCAAGTCCGAAAAATCGTGTTTGTTCATTAAATACTAAAGAATTTTATTTTCGAAACGTCTTCTGCCTCTCGAACACACAGATAAACAATGCTACACAGATAACATGTAAATATTATATATTGTTCATAAGTTTAGGTATATATTATTACTTATAAAATAAGTTTATGATTAACAATTAATATTATAATTAGGCCAAAAAAATTATCTACTTAATATAAACGAATGTATTTCAAATAATGTTTTGCCAATAAACTAAGTACCTATGTATTATGTGAACAAATATATGTTTAGATCACATTATAGAATTCTTTTTTTTTTAATTATTATTAACTACTGTTTAAATTAAATATTGTACTTTTATACATAGCATATTGTGTGTTTTATTGTGAATAATATTTTTACTGACGTTTTTGTGATACAAGTTAATAATATTAATATTACCTACAAAATGTATTATTTCTTTTTTACAAAAATATATTCTTAATGCCTTGTACATTGTACTATTGTACTGCTGAAAGTTACAACTGAAATATCTGTGAAAATCTTAATATAATTTTTACTTACAAATGTTATTCTATATTATTTTGTCTCGACTATGCTTGGCTGAATAATAAGTGTATATATTTAAAAAAATTAATTCAAATACCTAATAACGGTTTTAAATCACCCTCAAATTTTATTTTTAAATTTATTATTTACTGTTTATGTTACCTATTCAATTTAATGGACTATATTAATTGTTGAAGGTTATTTAAAAAGAAAAATGGATGTTTTTTTAATGAGTACTCAAACTATATAAATTTATGAATTTAGGTCCAGAATTTTATAACACACTTACACCCAATTTTAAATAATTGTTTCCTGGACAAATGAAATATTCATGTCAAAAAATTATTGAATATTATACTATTATAGAAAATAGAAATAACATTTAACCTACCACTTATAAAAAGGATTCATTTTAAACCAACAAAGTATTTCAAGACAGTGTTATAAAATGTTTGTTTATTGTTACATTAAAAGTTACTATATAGTTTGTATGTATGAATACTTTCAAAAAGGAGTAATTAACCTTATTAGATGAGGTTTATTAAATAATTTAAATGCAACAAAGTATTGACCAAAATACTTCATACTTGTCTAGTAGTACCATAGATAATAGAATATTCTATAATTAATGACAGTACTAAAACAATAATTTTGTTTCTTATGCTTTGAAAAACAACCAAGTTGCTGTTATAGGATTATTATTGCTACATTTTTACATTTTTAATATTTCATCTAATTTTCAATAAATAAACATTAGTCGCGCTAGGTAATAAATATCATAATAGTAAGACATAACTAAAAATAATATTTACACACAAAATCAAAAATCATTACCTATTTAATAAAACAGGTATAAATGAATAGGTTGGGTGAGGACATGAGGTACTGTAATTTTAAGAACAAGACAAAATAAAGGTAATAATATTATAATCATTCTATTTAAAAACAATCAAAATCTAATTAATAAAATATTTAAGTTTGTAAAAGGTAATCATAATAATAGGTTAACATAACTACACATGGAAATGTAAACTTTTACATATTTATGTTGTCAAAACATTGGCATCTGATGTTACTCAAATGTATATATAAATATTAATTGATATCTAATTTTAACGATAAATACAATTAATATAAATATAACACTATGAATTATGTAATAGTAATTCGATAATTTAAAAAAAAATTAGAAGAAAATTTAAAATGTTGATGTTTGGAATAAAATATATCTAAAAACAACAACATTATTGTACTATTTTATAGGTTTTAACTCAGCAGATCTTTTTTCGATTTCACTAGACATTTACCAACCAAGACGCCACACAAAGCTATCATGGCTACACCAATACCAGTTTTCCAAATGAATAAAATTGATTCTCGTAAACTTGGAATAAGACTAGACTGGTTTGGACTGTATTTATGTCTAAAAATAATAAAAATTCAATAAGACTTCTATATTGATTGTCTTTACAAATCTAGTAAAAATTCTAATACAAATTTTTAGTTATAAATTTATAATAATACATACGGAAGGGAAGCCATTGTAGCTAAATTTGAGTATAATTTTTTTCCTTCATTTGAATTTATGAACATGTACGGTGCTGATAATCTATTCTGTTTGCAAAATTGATCTGGTTGTAATATATAGTCTTGTTTCATTAAGGGTCTACCTTTATCATTTGCTACAATCAAAACTGGGATATTTCTGCTTTGATAATATTTCTGCAAATAATAAATTATAATTAAATGATGCAAACAAATGTAATATTTAAACTAAGATTAAACTTACTAAATAAACATGTGCACTATATTCAAACGAACAACTCTGCGAAGAATCAAATACTAAACACACTACATCACATTTAATGTCTTTTTTAGTCAAATGATTTTCACTAATTGGCTTTATTTCTTTCAGAACTAAATATTTGTCTTGGCCGTACACTTGAACACGATTAACTGATATTATACTTGGTTCCTCAGTATCTTCCAAGTGATTCTAAAATATTTTCAAAAAAATCTTATTTGTGTCTTCATCAAACATAATATTTCTATTTACTTCAATTTTTGCAGTTTTGACATGCCGTTTACATATTGTCGACTTCCCACTTCCCTTGCTCCCGATCACATGGCAAATATATACTGATCTCTGGGACTGTTTCTTTTGTAAATCAATTTTCTTACTCCTAGTAACTGCAAAAAAAAAAAAATTGAATTAATTTTGTCTCATCTTTTTTATTTTTATTTTTATCTTACCTTGAATTCCTGAAAGTTGGTTTTCTAGCTTCATGTTATACCCTAGCATTGCTAGATATGCTAATGTAGTATCGGCTTCAATTAGAGTACAGTAAGACCAAAAAGATAGCCATCCTTGTGATGTTATCCATCCCTAATGGTATTATATAAACATTAATTCAATAAAAACTTAAATAATTTAATTTAAAAAAATGTATTTACTTTATGATTTGTATTATATATGCATTTCCTTAAAAGTTGTGGGTCTTCTGTACACATGGAAAATAATGATTTCAACTCAACAGGGCTTAAACAATCATCTTTATCTTTGTCATGTATTTCAAATAAGCGCGACAAAAAATATTCACCTTTATGAGATAACTCAATGGTACAATATTTATCTACTTTTAAACTACAAAACAAATATGGTATTAACATAATTAAGTGAATAGGCTTTAATATGTGTAATATACTTAGGATGAAGGTAGCTGTATGAAAAATTTAAATTGTCATCATATCCAAATTTTCTAATTACAGTCCATGTTGTTTGTGCTTTTCCTTTTAATATAAATAACATATGCAGGAACAAAAACCCTATATTTTTTTAATAACATTGTTTATTAGAATACTTTAGAGTATCAGCATTATTCATTAATTAATATTCATTCAAATAACCTTATGAGACCTCATTATATTTATTTTTTAATTTAGCTTATACTTAAATAACATACTGTAATCAATATTTTAATCTAATACTTATTACATTTACATTTAAAAAATACCTTCAAGAGTAACACAGTTTGATGGTGAAATTCCACGTTCACAGTTCATATTGATAATAGTTTTTATGCCATTCAATTGTTGTAAAGGCAAATGGGAATCAAAACAATGACGCTGGAAATTATTTAATTCTTCATCATTAAGCAGTCCATCGTTATCTGTGTCGCAAATCTATAACACATTGCTTTAAATAATAAATATTCAACAATTTAAAATAATATTTATGATTTACTTTAAATACACGACATAGAGCTCTTTTACATTTTTCAGTAAGCTGAAATAATAATAATTATAATTATTGAAAAATGTTTACTTAATTATTTAACAAACTAATTGTGTATAGCATACAATTTTATCCTCAACCGAATATAATGGAGCTGTGGGATGTAGAATTGCTGTTTGGGCATAACAGAACATTTCACTAATATTCATCAACATTTTTGCTGAACACTAAAAAACACATAAAGAATTAATTTAAATCAATTTAAAACATTTCATAATATTTACTTGAACATAGGTTTCAATTTCTGGATATTCATATAAAACATCTTCAACAAGCTTTAAAATAGAAATTATCAAATTCAATAAATTAATTCTTTAATAGTTAATATAATAGATTAGATAGCTTATTTCTTACAGATTATTATAAACTTACATGCATTGAAATACTATTAATGAGATCACTTTTATTTCCAACCAATATAACAGGGTGAAATATATCGCTGTTTAGTTGGCAGTCCCTCAGTAATGGCATCCACTTATCTTTAATATTTTGTCGGCTAGAATCATCTACCACTGAAAATACCAGGCAAATCACATCTGCGTGACGTATCTGTTCACATAATTCTTCATTATCTTGTTCATTTTCTAAAATTATATGACCAATATGTTAGTTATATATAGTGAAATTAATAAATTAAATGAACACCTACCATGGTAATCAATAATATCTGTAGGCACCAATTCAGGGGTAACTTCAGCAGGAATCGTTATTGTTTCAGCTCTTCCAGGCACTTCTTCCAAAAATTCTTCATTGACCAAAGATAATATGATAGACGTCTTACCAACATCCCTGTCGCCAACTAATAAAATACGTACCGATCGCCCGGCTTGTTTTGGTCCCATTTCAGAAGACATTTTTTACTGAGCATCAACTGTTGAAAAGTTGAACAGTGTATTTACACAGATTTAATTATAAAATAATTTAATTGTTAACCACCAGTGGTATCAACAATCATAAGTTATTTTTAGTAATAAGCTCACTTGAATATTTAGAACATTTTATTCTCATACGATGATGGTGATCTTTTAATAAGCAACACAATAATAAAAGGCTTCAACCATAAAAATGATATTTTAAATTCTTGTTTTTGATACTTCTAATACTAGGCACCAGTATTTCGGTCATTCAACGATCGAAAACAGTAAAGCTATCAGTAATCAGTATAACGTACTGATAACAGAAAATTGATTTAACTTTACTGAAAGACAGTATGGCCAATAAAAATACGGCTGATTCGTCTTTGGATAACCGCTTTACCTAAAAACACAGAAGTACGGTCTAAAAATTGGCTAAGTAAATTTTAAAATTTTAAATATTAATAATAAATTACTTCACTCATGTTTTCATGTTTCATTTACTCGAGTAAAGTAATAAATAAATTCGTTGTTTAATATAAGTTAATTTAGTTTTTAGCTATTTATACCACGAAATAATAATATTATTATTCTACACTTCTACCGGATCTCAGACTCAAGACTGATGGAATTAAATAATTATGAAATGTGGTCAATAGTTCTAAAATAGGTTGTAAGAAAAAAACCAAGGAAAAATAAATCAACAAAAAATCATGATAAAAATAATCAAAAAAAAAAAATAACCAAATGTTACATATTTTTAATTAGCACATTTAATTCTTTTTAATTTTTGACTTATTATTGGACTAATAATTATTATAATCTATATATCAAATATCAGTTACCTATCCATAGAAAACACCACAATAAAGTTTTTTAAATCAATTTTAACGTTAATTTGTGGTCTGTAATTTGTATCTATATTATATATACAAGTATATAATAATGAATTGAGAATTGAGACACCTACTTTGAAGTACGTACCTACTTACTTAAGTCCAAATTTACCCCACGATTTAATTGTGAAATAACCTTTTATTTTTAGATAATTTTAATTAAAATTTAGATTTATGGTTGGTTATAATACAGTATACCTAATAGGTATGCTTGTTCTTTTTAACATAGTACATACATTTTTTTTAAGGTATACGTAAAAAAATCACAGAAAAAAAAAAGCCTAAAGAAAAAAAACAAAAATCATAATAAATAATTAATATACCTAATTTTAGTATGATCAAAGAATTTTCCAAAATTTTTCCATCATAGAAATAAATTTTATTATTTTTCCAACTATTTATGAATTATATTATACTTAATATTTATTACTGTATAAAAACTATTTTTCATTAATTATAATAGAATGTATGATTTCATGACATTCTAGTACAATTTACATTTTTACCAACACTTGATATGTACCTAGTATCTACATGATGACTACATGTTCCTATACTATTGCATTAATAAATTAATTTAATTGTGTGATTTCCAAAACAGAAAAAAAACTGGATAAATGTGTACCGCTCGACTGTACATACTACATTTGGTGTTAAGTAGATCACTATAGTCTATAATGGGTATGTTAAATTTAAATTTGAATTATTTGTTATATGTACCTACAATCTACCTATTATTAAATACGAAAAACGACACAAATAAGACGGCCAATTAGCCTTTATCATTATCTAAGTACATTCCATGATATATTTTGTGATATTGCTATTAATTTTTTGATTTAATTTACTATTGCTAGTAATATACTATACTCATAGGCGTAGCTAGGATTTTAATCAGGGGAAGGGCAGTTGATAACTTTTCTTTTTTTTTTTATTGCTTTTTTGATAATATAAAAACTGTATGCAACAAACAAAATAAATCAATATTTCTGTAATAAATTGTTAAATTAATTAATTTCGAACATGTAGGTGCCAGTCGCGTTACACAGCTCTTAATCCGTAGTTTTCTTTCTTTAGATTTTTTTTTTCATACATTCGCTCATTGTAAATATCTATAAAGATTTTATATAATCGAATCAAAAATAAAAATAAAAGTTTTTTTCTCGTTTATTTTAATTTTAATTTGTTGTTAATTGAATTTTTTCTATGGTTTCCTTACCTTGGTTTTTTCCACAATTTATTTTCCAATTAGGTATAGACTATAATAAAATTGTTTTATTTTTTATTAATTTTCTTTATCGTCAAGCATAATTCTTTAATTCGTGTTCAGAATATCATTTTAAAATAATTTGTAACTTATCTAAAATCACAGTATAGTACTGTAGCCCATACCATACCTATAAATATTAAATGTAAAAAAAAAACATATTTATCCAATATTTTATTTATTTAACTCTTAATATATTAACAAGCATAAATTAATTAGACTAATTATTATTTATTGGCCTATAAGGCTATAAACTACTGAATAATTTTATATAATTAACCATTTTTTTCTGTTTTGTTTACCTATATAGAAAAATAGTAATATAGCGTAATTATATTATAATTAAAATTAACTTATGGCTTATAAATAAAAATATGAATTTTATATATAATTAGGTATCTAATTGTAGAAATATTTAGCTAAAATAATTTATGTTATTAATTGTGAATAAATTAATATAAGTAAATAGGTACTAAACATAAATAAAAAAAAACTTAGTTTTCTGTTTTTCACAATAAAAATTGTGTAAACGATTTCACACGGGTAATGACATGGATTTTGATGTTTTGAGTTTTGACCACAGATAAATATACGATACATTATTAAATATTATACATATCTGTAGTTTTGTCTGGGTTCTCTTTGAATAAATAGCAATATTAAGAGGGCGCCGCAGTGACAAACCCATATATGTTGTCTCTGTCTTACAACAACATGGCAAATTTGCGTTCAGCAGAATCCATTTTATGTTGTTAGCTTTATTGAACATTTCTATTCAAGTTTTGATTTAAATCTATTTCGCAAATATTATATTGTGTTTTATACTTTAATGCAAACAAATCCCATTAAGCGGAGTCCCTCATTTTGTAGAGGCCCTGAGACTGGCTCTGTATATATTACACAAGGGTTATTATAGATTCATTTTTCCGCTATAACTAATCGAGTATCTTTCTCAGAAAATGAAGCTATCATTATTTTTAAGGAAGATTAAGAAAAAATAACAAAAGACACATAATATAATAAAACAATACAGTTATAATATATCAATATAAATAAAAAAAAATTTGAATTTTATTTTGTGAAATACAAATTTTTTTTAAATTTAGAAAATACATACATGCATATTTATAATAATAGATAAATACTTAATAATTGTTGAATACTGTAAATTCTCAACTTTTTTGTATAATTAAATATAATTTAATGAATTATATATAATTGTCTACTATTCAAATTGCTTTAATTCTGATTCTAATTTTACAGTAGAATATAAATATACTCATCAGTTAAGGCCATTATAGGAAAACTAAAATTCATCACTCTGTAATTTGTATATATTATCAATATGTCATATAATGAATTAAGTTATGAGAAAAGGATCAACTCCAATGATATTATCTTTATCAATATTCAAAATATATTATTTATCAATTAAATTAGTCACATTCATGAATGTACATTTGTACATAATATACTTTATTTTCAAATTATACTTTAATCAAGATTAATTATAATATACTTATATATTTATGTATTTCTTAAATTCCATTATTATTAAGAGTTTTCAAACTATATATGGGCACTTATATTTAATTGAGTTCATCTTGAACATATAATGTTTAATAGTTAACATAGTGTTGAGTATTAAGTGAACAAGTAAAATTTTTCGAATTTCAATTTTAATGTAGCTATAAATAAATATTCTTAAAATATGCATAATATAAACTCACACTAAAAACACTTTTAATATTTTACCATAATACTGTAAAAATAGTTAAGTGTATTTTATAGAATAATAATACCATGGTCTCTTTGAAGTCTTCGTTTTGCAGTTGTAGATACAACACCCATTATATCTGATGGCGTTGGTAGACCACTAACAATATTACCATTTTGTTGATAAAATAATTCTCGGCTGCCACATTTATTTCCGTAGACAATATTGTCGTCATTTCTGTAAAATTGAGTTTATTTAATATTAACAAAAAATTTAATTTTGGCTTAATAGTCTACCTGATGATTATATCAAGAACTGATGGTTTTTTTTGGAAAGTATCATGTATAGAAGTGGCTAAAATTGTTTGCGAACCTAACCAGTTACCATGCTTATCAATCATACCAGCATTTGTCGTATCCATTACCATGTAACCATAAGTTTCATCGGTACCTTGTAAATTATATGCATCTGGGACATTTGTAATTGTGTTATTTATAGAGTGTTCTAAGTCTCCAAGATTATTAAAACTTAAATTCCACTGAAAAAAAAAAAATTTTATCTAGCTGCAACTATTATAAATATTAATGCTTACTAATAAATGAATAAGTTCAGCATCATTTTCTGCTTCTTTTTCTAATAAAACCATTATTGAAGTATTTTGAAAACCAGCAACAAATAACAATAGTTTTTGATGACTGACAGGATTAGTTTGCAGTTGAAAACTTGTAGGAGTTCTACAAATGCTTTCTGTAGGCGTGACAAAGTTATATGATTCTGTCATGCTAAGTTTAGCCATCAAAGGTGTCATTATGTCTTCTTTAAGTGCAGGTTTTCTATCTAAATTATATAATTATGTGTATTTAGGTTATAAATGAAAAAATTCAAAATTTACCAAGAGCTTGTAAATTTAATGGAATGGAAGTTGGCCGAACTGGTTTTTTTGATTTTAATATTTTTTCTAAATCAATAAATATAAATATTTAATATTTTGTACAAAATAAAATTATTACTTAAAATTTAAATAAGACCTTTTTCAGTCTGTGCTTTAAAATCAAGATCAGTATAATGTTGAGATAGTTGTTTATCATATAGTGCTTTAGAAACAGCATAATCATCATCACGCAATAATGGAAAATACGGGTCACATAATGTTCTATATTTATCATTATATTTTAAATTGTTATTATTTGTTGTTTTAGGCAACAACCGAAGACTCTGATACCTTGTTGTGTCTTTTCTGGAACAAACAATTTTAATTTCATAAACACATAAAATATTGAAAATTAAATTTTATACCTTAATGTAACAAGTTTTGAGAAATTTGGCATTTCGTTCAGAGATGATTCTAGAGAAGAACATTTTCCAGTACTAGATTTTTCTAATTTCTTTTCTGCTTTAATAATAGATTCTTTCACAATATCTGGCATACTACAGATTGATCCACTATTACTATCTGGGGTATCTTCTTCTTCAACAGTGAACATATTTTTATTTTCTGGATTTTTGTTAGTTTTAAGATAGTCTTGTGACTTATAAGCCATCTGCATCAGTCAGTACAAGATTTTTAAATTTCAATAATTAATTAGCAAAATTATAAAATATAACTACCTACCTTATTCTTTTGCCGCCATCTTGATACTTTTTTTACAGATTCTTTCAGTGAGGTAGCTGTTTTTCTTATTTGTAGTACTTGTTCTCTATCCACAAAAATGTACAAGATTTGTGTGCCTAATGGTAAGTGAAAACTCCCTTTTACATTTTCAGCTGGTATCTGTAATAAATTAATCAATATAAGATAATTTTTAAGGAATTATTAATAGTGAAAATGACTAATTAAGATTTAAGTATTAAACAGCTAACTAAAATGTATTAAAAATAATTTTATGATAAAATGAAAGTTAATTATTTTACATTTCAGTGCCTCACTTTATTACAGAAAGGATTTGTCAATTGGATTAATTTAGTTAGTTCAAATCCAAATTGAGTAACAACAATTCTAGAAAACAAAACAAAATTAGATAAATTAAAATATTGAAATGATAAATCAAATACTTGTTTTGATGTAATAACATTCCACCCAAAACTTTGTTTTTTTCTTGCATACTTTCAAGTATTTGCATTGCTTCCAAAAGTATATTTCCTCCACTCTGAAAAACATAAAACAATTAATATAGATTTTAAATCCAAAATATACCATGATAGATCTTACTTTGGGAAATTTAAGTACTGCAGTAGTACTAAACATGTTTGAAGAAACTAGCAGAAGAGAAAGATATGATGAAATTACAGTATTTAACTGTTCACAAAGAATTTTATGATCTGAGATTTCAGTGATATTAAAGTGATATGTAACTAAAATATTATACAAAGTGTCGGCTCGATTTTGCAAAATACTGTCTGGAATATTTCGATCTGTTCCAACACACTGTAATAGATAAATATAATATAATAAATTATATTTTGAATAGCTATAACTGTTTTCCTTTTAAAAAGTATTTATATTTTAATAAATAATCATTAATTACCAATGTCGACGAACCAAAGTGCCGAATAGCAAATTTTCCAGAACGTAATGCTAGTACTGAAGGAGTCGAGAAAACTGAAGAAGAAAACTTTACAATTCCCATTAGTTGTCCACTTAAAGCAAGCTTTTGTGTAGAGCTAACCCATGGGGGATGAAAGTATAAAATAGAATTTTGTGGATCATCAGCTTCAGTAGTACAGAATCGTGGGTCGTAAACAAACACAATTAAAAGTTCTCTAAAATATATAATCAAACAAAAATTATTACAACTAAGAATTAACAATTCATGGTTAAAGTACAATTTAAAAATTTTTTCCATACATCTCAGGTTTCAAAGTATTTGACAAAATCTATTTTCTGTGTGCAGTAAGGACTTAGGACCTTAAATAGTTTATTTTAAAGTTAATAGTGTTCACAAACTATAATAACTATACCATGTAAAAAAATTAAAGAACTAAATTTTTTTTAATTCTACTTTTATTTATTAATACACTTTAATAACATTCATTTAATGATTTGTTCATGGGCCTTTATCCTTCAATAAAGGAATAGGGTAAAAATACTTGGCATTTTATTATTTCATCAAGATTTAGGTATGATGGGTAATATATTAATATTTTAAACATTTTTGTTGTTTATGGACAATTGGTAAGTAGATTAGCTGAACTTGGTGATTGCTTTACAGGTGGTTCCATGCTTCTATATTAAAAGAAACATTTTTATTATGAAGTGGTTCAATATTATGCTTACCTTGACATGGTGCCAGGTTCTACACAATTATTGCGGGCAATATAGCTTGGAAAAACACTAGATCATGAAAGTTAATGGAGGAATGAAGTCGACCCAACACCAGTGGTACTCTGGTCGGTGGATACCATGATCACAGCGACTGCCTGCTGTAGCAACAGCAACAATCAAATTTTATGGATTAAAATATATTATTATATTAATCAACGTTACGTAACCTGTGATGCCACAGACGTCGAAGGTGGCTGAGAGCCATTCCCACGTTAAACTCCTAGTAACAAGCTATAAAGGATGAATGAGGAACAGAGGTAGTGGGGAACAGTAAAGATTCAGTGATTAGTTGGTTGCCATTTGCATATGAATTATGAAAACAATAATAAAATAATATATTAAAATAATATACTCTGTAATAATAAAATTATTTTGAAGTGATAAGATATCAGTGATATCACCGATCACTGTATTGAGATAAGAACAAAATAAGATTAAAGTAGATAATAATATAATATCACACGATTTAAGATTTATTATAAGCACAGTATAAAGATCGGCCTATGCCCTATAATATAAGGGTAAGTCTAATATTGACAGTACTGAATGACTGATGGGCTGAATGGATGAGCTCCACAGTGGTGCCAACGCGAATATCTTTCTGTTAGACGGCAGGCGGCATGTTCCCTTTCATCACATCTTGTCTTACTGCCTTAGCCTTACTGGAAAGGTAGTGACTTCGGCTCTGTCTCTGATCCTGGATATTCCGTGCGATTTTTCAAGATTTTATCAATCCTGTACAATTTATTAATTGAATATAATATAATATATAAATATTTATATGTTATATCAAATAAGTATTAGAAGGACGGGATAGTATTTTATATGGACAATAATGATAATATATGCTAATATTGTCCAAAAATCAATCATTAATACTCAACAGTTCAATTTTCAGGTTTTTTTCGGTTTTTGTAAATAAATAACATTTATTAATAGTTACATGATTATATCTTGATATTATATTTTTGTCGGTAACTAGTATTTATGTGATACGATATTATTACAGTTAGTACTGCAGTAGTAAAATTATTGTACAAATGTACTATATTGAAGATATTTCAGGCATGTTCTTCAATTAATAATTGTCCAGGATTGATAACGTCTTGACAAGTCTCTCGGAATATCCGAGACCAGAGACAGAGCCGGTAACTTCAGCTACCATAAATGCTAGTCGTTGTGATGGTAACTGTAAAACTAAAAACTATATAGCAATGTACCTACTTTTTATAAATATTTCTAATAAACATATTGTTTTCATATATATTTCAAGATAAATAAATATAAAATAATTCTTCTTTTTAAAAAAAAAAAAATTAACAACCATAGTATATTAAATTTTAAAATATTCAAATAAATAAATACATTACTTAAATTTGGTTTTTGTCAAGACCGAGTTATGTGTGGATGCAGTACCTATATATTTTTGACAACATGAAAAATGTTGCACCAAAAAAAGTGTAGGTAGGTAGGTACCTAAATTACTGAGTACGTGTTCATAAACCTATTAAAATGAAAAAAGACGTCGCAAAAAGCTTTTTCCAAAACTTAAAATTGTTAAATCTAGAATGCGAATGACAATAGTATAAGACCGGCTAGAAGATCTTATGTTACCTAATAGCTAACAAGCTATGAAATATACATCTTAGAACACTAAAAAGTCGTTGGAAGTTTCACCTTAACAAGTACTATGTTTTTAAAACATATATAATATATACCTATTTTAAAATTTAATTATTTTAGATATATATGACCGTATTATCATATTGTAAAATAAAATCATATTCTGTATATCAATTGTCGGATACTATAGACGATCATTACAATTATAATAAAATAATATATATAAGTAACATAGGAACACCCGAACACAATATTATAATATTAATATAAGATATTTAGATATATATGTAATAACTGTTTTAGCATGTCACTAATGACTAATATAAGTAGAGTTTGAAAATAAAACAACGAAGCATAAAACTACGTATATTAAATTATTTAACCCCACCGCTGCACTGTCATAAGTGCGAGGAGAGCTTCGCTGTTGTTGAGTTCGACAGAAGTGTGTGCGCACGTATATGTATATGATGGATGACGAAAATAAGTGAACAGCTATCACAAGAACGTTAGTGGATTAAATTTTTTGTTTTGATGTAATTAAAAAAGTTTTTGATCATATATTTTGCTAAACTTTCATACCTAACTTTATGGTACACTCGTTAGACGTTTTATCTTCACGACTTAACAACGCCAAGATGAATCATTATGATTTATGATTACAACTAGAAGCGCGGATCTTATGGTTCAACTGTGACAATAATGTCATATAGATACTTAATTTAAATGGGTGGGTGTAGCCATCTCGGTCTTGAAATTGGTAAAAACTGGGATGGTTATCCATTTGCGCCAAAATAAAAGATATATTTTTTCCGACAGCTCATTTGCGCCAAATTTACTTACGTAAACATTTTACATTATCTAATTGATTATTTAAAAACGTACAATTGACTTTGATTATCGATAGCTTATAATTTTCAAAAAAATAGAAACTTATTAACTATTTATTTCCTACCTATTGTTTAAAATAATTTGTATTATTATTTATTGGTTATTATTTTAAAAAATTTCGTACTAAAACTTATTTACAATTGTGCGAAAGATTCGAAGCAAAAAATTGATAGATAAATACTCAGCAACAATTTAAAACGAAAAGCTTTAGAGCAGCTTTCTGAACGACCTGCAAAATTATTTCATGTCGAGATGAAATAGTGTAATGTAAGTACATTAACAAGCTCAGACATAACTTTCATAAAAAATATTATGAATCATGCTATGAATTCTATATATCTAAAATTGCCACAAGATGCGAATGAAATCTTTAATATTTTATCATTCATTGAAATTAAGACATTTAAGGATAAGAACTTTTTAATGGTAAATGGCCTATTAAATGGTTTTGTGATGTTTTTGAGAGATGAAAATATCAAGTTCTTAAGTTAGCTAACTACTATATACGTGGATGGTAATTTTGATTATTGTGTTCAATATTTTTGCCAATTGTTTACAATACATAACTTTAAAAATAATTATTATATACCCTTAGCATTTTTTTTTTGCTAAGAGATAAAAGTCAAGTATCATATAAACGAGCTTTTGTCGAATTACGTAACCAGTTTTTGAATTCCGTGGAAGTATTTGAACCAAAAATGTGTTTCGTTGATTTTGAAAAATCCATTCATAATGCATTACTTGAAGTTTATCCACAAATCGAAATTAAGGGTTGTATATTTCATTTATGTCAATCTTGGTGACGTAAAATACAAAAAATTGGCTTGGCTACAGAATATTCAAAAAACAACGAGATTGGAAAATATCTCACACACATATTTTGCCTTCCATTTTTATATCCAGTAGAAGTAAAATTTTGATTACATTAATTTATTATAAAATTATTATAATTTTTAATTAAACAGTTATTTATTTTCAGTTAGGCAACGTTTTTGTTATAGATCTTGGTGAACTAAAATCTGAAAATGACAAAATAACTGAATTTTTTGATTATTTGGTTTACAATAATTATATAGATGAAGATTCGTCTTTTCTATCGAAAATATGGGCTGAAATGACATCAAAGGCGCAAAGGTCTACTAACGCCTGTGAATCATTTCACAGTAAATACAATTCTAATTTTTCATCTACTCACCCTCATATTATAAATTTTTGTAATTTTTGTATGTATTAAAATCAATGCAGTTAGATACGGTAATATTAATTAAATCATCAACAATGAAATCAAAATTATTAGGACAGCCACAAAAAATAAAAAAAAATTGTATTAATAATTTAATTGATAAATTAAACATGAATGAAATTGGCGGAGATTATAGGCTCTCCAAAATTATTAAACATTTTTCAAAATTTTAAATAGGTAGGTACCTATTTTGCAACAATGCAAAGAAAGATTAAAATCCCCCCCTAAAATAAAATAATATATCCGCCATGGGTAAACTACTATTTAGAAATTTGTTTACTTCGGCGCCACGCCCAGGGGTGGAGTGACTCAACAATTCTTACCGAGAAATCAGGTATTTTCAGGTCATATCCAGACTAATCATTTATTGATTGGGCGAGGTATAAAACAATTTATTTGGTCTACGTCACGGCGCATGTCAACTCCGCAACAAGTATCTTTTTTTACTGCTAACTCCGTTAGAAATAAAAAAAAAAAACAGGTAAATCGGGTTCATGAAAACTTTGCCACTGAAAAAAATCAGGTAAAATTGATACATGTAAACTCCGCCAGTGAAGAAAATCAAGCAGTAGTATAAAATTAATATAATATGTTCTTAAAAAAGAATTATAGTATAATAGTCATATCATATCGTTCACATTAAATATTTAAATCATAGTAAAAAATCATAAAAAATAATCGTTATACCTAACAAAAATATAAAGTTATGTCATGTATGTAAACTAAAATGATGTGATACAATTTTTAAATATTCTAAGTCTTGTATTACTTCATTAGTATATTAATTATATATGTCAACGTATTTAATGTGAGGAGGCACGAGGCAATGTGAGCATTGAGCAACTAAACAAAAACAAAAAAAAAACTGGCGGAATTTAGATTAGACCTTTTACATATTACTTTTTTATTTTAACCTGTATTCTGGCGGAGTTAACAATCGTCCACGTGACTATGTAGTATGTATATAGGGTAGAAGCAATTAACAATTTATTATCTTACACATTTTACATTCTTCTTAGCTTCTATTATAAGATAGCGTCGACCATTTTATCAAGTACGCATCTAAAACAAAAGACTACCTCTAAGTAATCTAAGTTAAAGGAAATTTAATAAATAATATTTTATAATAACAATTTTTTTGGATTTATTCCATATTATCACAGATTATACATAAACATAATATGTGATATTTGTTATTACTGATTAAAAATGCAAGCCTATGACGTCAGTTATAATCATGGCCGTATATTTTATTACCTATTTTGTTTAGGTATTATGTTAATCACAAAATAATATTATAATTTATAAACAACCAACCTGAATAAATGTTTATAGGTTGTATAAATTACTGGCTCATCATTATTATATTATCAGATGACGTAGGTAATAACGTAAGAAATCAAGTTATTATACGTATTGATTATTTGTTTATAACTAAAATATTTTAATTCGTAGTTCACACCATAAATTTGTTTTCGTTATTTTTACAATCAACTAAAAATCACAAAATATTAATTATTTATTTATTAATTAATCAGGACCAGGCCATTTCTTATAAAAGTAAGCCATACCACTAAGCATTCGCCCACTCCACTCCTTAAAACTCATAAGGTCT